AGCTTGTGATTAGTATAGGTTTTCTTAATTTGGATAATAAAAAATTAGTGTTTTTTATTAAGCCAGGAAAGATAATTTGTTTAAAATTCTCTTTGGTCATTGAAGGGACCAAAAGAAGGACATAAAAAGTCAAATATAGGAAGGGTTTTTATTTCCCTTTTTAAGTTAAACTTTAAAACTGTATTTAAGGAATCAAATCTTATAAAATCCTGGAAGATTTTGGTAATGATGTTGATAATTTCAGGGAAATCAATCAAGTACCTATTGATTTTAAAGTGTATTTTATTCAATAGTTTTGGTAGCTTGCCATGGATGATACTAGCCCAGTGTAGAAGAAAAGTGCAATATGTATAGCATACTTTGACATTATAAAGGCTATATTAATTCTGTAACCATTTTGAAATGCTGGGCAAACTTTTTTTTAAAAACCCTACATGAAGTTATTTGCAATTAATTCATAGTTAATGAGGCATTTTGAAAGGTAATTAGTTAAAACATGTAATATGGTTGAAATTTGGTAACATTCTAATGTTACTTTTTACTCTACTGTGAAAAGTTTTTTATGCAACACACACACCCTAGGTTATTTTTGTGTCTTAGTGTGGACTTACAAATTTACTATAGGTATCCTGAGCCAGGAACACAATCAGGTTTTATGTCAGTTTGATACTGGCTATTCTTAATTCTCATGTGAGTGTAGGACTTAAGACTAAATGTTATGTCAGTGGGACTGTGCTGTCTGTGCAACTTAATAAATTAATCATTTCTTCAGATTTAAAGGAGAGTGATAAATAAAATTGGGAGTCATAGGATATTGATGTACAATTTAAGGATTAAAATTTTTTTTATGAATCACTTGTGAAAAATGGATTATTAAATGTTGACATCCTAGTATAAATCTGCAAGAATAAAAGTTCTCCAGCTATATTGACTAGTGTCTTGAATTTATCGTTTTTGAATCTGCCTTATATTGCTTCCTGAGAATCCTTTATTAAAGTCTTTTATAGTTTGTCAAGTGGGTGATTTTAAATGATTTATAAACAGACTTTAGAGTTCTGCTTCCTTGTGAAGAGCATCAAATGAACTGGAAAGAGATTATGTGTTAACATTAGTATCAATTGACAGGTCTCCTAAACTTAAGGAACAGGGTGAAAAAGTTCAAGGGGCTAACAGAATTAAGGTTGGGTTTGAGTTGGAAGGACAGAATGATTATATATATGTTGTAATCATTGTCTTAACCCTAATTTTTCCTTTAAGTTTATTCTTTTAAAATCATCTTAAAAATAATACATGTGCCTTATAGTGTTGTTTGCAACCATCTTACTGTAAAACTTGTAAAACAACACAAAAGAGTAGATACATCGTGTAAGGTACATCCATGTAGCATCATCCAGTTTCAATATTAGCACTTCATGGACAGTTTCATTTAAACTTCAACCACCAACTTGCATATCTTTTTGAAGCAAATGCATGGTATGTTTCAGCCTGTAACTATTTCAGTCTTTATCCCTAGAAGATAGTGGCTCTTAAAACCTACTCTTTAATGTAAAGAAAAATTAGTCAAAACAATTATAATATCGATTATTTACTATTCAAATTTTTTATTGTCTCATAAATGTCATAAAATGTTAATTACTTTTAATCAGTATCTAAATAAGAACCAGTTGTAATAAATCTTTTAGATATTTTTAGATTCATGGTATCCTTCTCTAGCTCATGTTGAAATTAATCCTTTTCAGTTTACTGGCCTTCTAAGAGTTTCCCACCAGATGAATTTTACTGATTTCATCCTTGAGGTGTCATTTAAAATAAAAAATTCAACTCTTGACAAGCTAGAAAAACTTTTTTGTGTACTACTGTCTTTTAATGACTGGTTGTCTTTCTGGCTTAGCTGCCACGGATTAATATGTATTGTTTTCAAAAATCAAACATTACATACTGTAATGTTTGCCCACTGTTGAATGTTATTGCTGGTAGCTTCCTATGCTGCTATTGAACACTCATAATGTGTTCTAATCTTAATTGAGATGAGCTATATAAAATGTAAAATATGCATGTTCGATTTCAAATAGTATAAATAAGGTAAAATATCCTAATTATGTTTTAAATGGTATTTTTACTTTTTCTTAAATAAAGATTTACTTATTTATGCATACTGGGGTAGAGGCCAGAGGTGCAGTGGCAGTGAGAGGATTCACCAAAGACAGTGGGGAGCAGAACAGGCACATCAGCGAAGTACACTGCTGAGGGGAGCAGTGGGTGAGACAGGTGAGGTCTGCTGCACCATGTGGATCACCCCCTGGGCCAGGGGTCAACTCCCACTGAAGCAGCTGTGGTTAGCTGCAGTGCCACTTCCTAACCTGTTGCACCACCAGGGATGGCCATTAAATGATATTTTAAATATATAGGACTGACTAAGGAAACACTATTAAATAAATTTCACCTTGTGTTTCTTTCAGATGTAAGAAAATTTAAAACTACAACATGGTTTTCATTGTAATTCGGTTGGACAGTGCTACTGTAAGACAAGAAAAATGTTCGACCTCTGTATCTCTCTTCCTATGTCTCATTTGATACCCAGAGCAACTGCTTTCAATTGTTATTTTTTCTACTTCCACAGTCCCAAGTAACATGTTTATAGGATGTATCAAGCACTTAAGTGCCGGTTATGCTCTAAGCTCTACATCATAAATTTACTTGATGGGAGTTGAACTATGATTCTCCCATAGAAGAGAAATCATAACGTTGTCCAAAAATTAACACCAATGTTAGGGAAAAGTGCTACACTTACAATTTTAAGAAAAACTCAGTAAGAAATTAGGGAAAAAATTAAGTTTTCGAAAAAGTCATTTCAGAGATGAGAAAATTTGGGAACAGAAAGCTAAGTAATTTTATTTCCCCCATCATAAATTAAGTGATGGATTAGATTCTAGTCTTAAAAGCCTGGATATGGATATGCTGACTCTGGATTATGTTATTAAATACTTTATAGTGCTGCCTCTTCTAATTACCCTTCTCTTTCCTTTTGGTTTCTTTTCAATTGTAAATATTGACAAACTTCCTACTATGGTAGGTAGCAATTTCACTTAATCACATGTCTTCTCATTCCTTGACCATACTGCTCAGCTCATTTCTATATTAGGACTTCCCATCATCTTCCTACTTTAACTTTACAAATTGTAGTAAGATCATATTCAATATAGATATTAAATACAGGTAATGTGTTCTGTAGTTCGGGGTGGTTACATTTCATTTTTAGCACTTCTGATTTTTCTGATTGTAATCAGCTCTGTATATTTTTTATCTTTGTTTAGTTCATCAGCAAGACCTTTTGTTACTCATTTCCAAAATCACTTATAGTGAGACTATTCCTTAAATTCTTCATCTTTTTGTTCAGGTATATAAGATAATAGGGAATCCACACCTCTGTTTATGCCTTTGTTTATTTTAATAGAGTACATTCTAGTAGCTTCTGAGGAAAAAGTACATTGGAGGTTCCTTTTTATTTTAAGTAGCACCTTGTTATTTGAGAGTACAATGTGCTCTCGTTTTAAGAATATTTGGAACTTATTGTTTTGAAATTTCTTTGCTCCCTATATTAACACTTTGCAACTCCCTTTTTCTATTTGGCTCAACAGTCTTTCAAGTTAGAATTATGTATTTAATTGTCTCAGGATTCATCAAATTGAGAGACAGCTAACTGGAAATTCTGTGAATAGAAAAGGCTTTTCTGTGGGAGTGTCGTAAGGTAAGGGAAGAATAAAACTTGTGTTAGCCATCCCTCCCCCATAATCTCAAGCTTTTTCTTTGTGGTAGATCGATTTTTCTAGAGAGGTAACTTCTGGCTTTCTATCTGAGGTGATGTGTATTGGGCTATCAGAGTTCTAGGAGACAAGTGATGTCAGGGGGCTAGGTATCTTGTGCAGTATTTAGAGTTTCACCATCTTCTGTTTTCAGCAAGAATTCTTCACTCTTTTTGTCCCCAGATTTTTTAGCTGGAGGTTTGGCCTGCCTTCTTTACTATTGTTAAATGAAAGCAAATAGTAACCCAAAATAGCACCAAGTACCATATTGTACTAACCCAGTAATATTAATAATAGTATAATATTAAATATTTGGCATGACATTGTCAGATTTAATCTCTAATAATATTGGGTAGGTAGGAATTATTAACTACATGGATATACTTTACTGAAATTTCTTTCCTTGATCCTTTCCCCTTGTTATCCTTAATCCTAGAGAAATTCCTAGCACTGAAAAGTGGTGGTAATAAAATTATATCTTTTACTAGTAAATTGCCCTTTCACACACTGAAAATTTTTCCTGGATGGTGAGAGAAACATTCAGTTTTCTATTTGTCTTTAGTAATAACAAATTCTATGGATTAGTTGGTTATCCTACCTCTCCAGTATTTCTGTGGCATATACATATAGATAGCAAAAAGGTATGTTATTACAGAACCCAAGAGTTCTCACTGAACTAGGTCATAAGTAGATAAGCATATAAATGAAGGAAATGCTGGAACACTATAGTTCAGAACCCTGAAGCTATTCACTGCTGCCACATTTTCCAGGACATCATCCTTGTTTCCTATTATAAAAATGTTTAGCACATCATAATGTCTAGTAACATAATAGCATATATTTCTGAAACTTGTGACCTTTTCTTGCATTAAATTTTTTAAAATTTTATTATGCATCTATTTCTTTTGCATTAAATTCTTCAAAAAGATTCAAGCAGCTCCTCGCTGGTGGTGCTAGGTGTTAAAGTACAGCACCAGTTTGATTCCCTAGCCAGGGAGCTGACCCAAATGGTACAGCAGACCTCTCCTGTCTCACCCGCTGCTCCCCTCAGCAGTGTACTTAAGTCAATCTGTCTGTTCTGCTTTGTCTCTGGTGAATCCTCTCACCCCTCTGGCCTGTAACACAGTTCTGTATGCGTCAACAAACATATCTAAACATATTCACAGTTTGCAGATGAGAAAATAAATCAAAAATGGACTTAGACAAAATCTTCCCATTAGTGAGCGGTATCAGTACTATGTTTTTTATTTTGCTCATTTTGTTCTTTTAGGCTTCCTGCACAGACACCAGCTTGACAGGCACCAGCTTGTTTGCTGAAATTCATTTTCCTTCTTTCTTCTCTGGAAATTCATAAGTTGCCCATTCCTTCCATCCTCCAGCATAGTGTTGAGCACTGAAAACACATCCAATAGTCCCTGTAAACATTTTCTGTTTTATAAATCAAAGCTAGTAGAACCTACAGATAAGAACTGTGAAGATTTAAAAATGCAATGACTTCACCGTACCATTTAGATTTCAGACCTATTTAAAAGATTGTTACTTTTGAGTAGGATGAAAAGATAAAGGTTCCCAGTCTCATTATTTTGCCATTACTAAAAAATACCAATAAAAATATAACACATATGGAACACTGCAATATATATCCTGGAAAACATTTTTATCCTTCATCTACACACCTGGTAAAGCCCAGAGTTAATGCCTTATCCAGAGCTTTCTTGCTTCTCACTCCAGCTAAACAAGAAAACACTAGACTGTCAGACTGGGATGGCTTTACTTCATTGTACTTCTCTTTGAAATCCTTTGGGCTCATCTGTAGGGCTTTATCTAATTCGTCCACTGGAAATTAAAAAAAAAAAAAGTTTTATATTTTGATTAAATCTGAGATATAGAACATATATATACACATATGCATACTATATATTTAAATGAATTTGTTTAAGACGTGTCACTTACATGGTATATTGACAGAACCAGGAATTTTTCCATGCTCAAGAACTTCCCATGTCTCTCTAACATCAATTAAGATAATGTTTTTGGAATTCAACAGGTTTTTAAGTTGTATGTAGGTAACAGTTTTTGAAGCAGTACAAAAGTTGTGGCAGCTCCCCTTAATTGACTTCAGACCTAGAAGAATAAAATTCAGACACTTTGAAAATGCCAAACAGGCAGGCCAACAGCACAGACTGAGGCAATAAATGGCATGAATTTAAATGGCACAAATTTGATGTAAATTAGAAGTTCCAGACACTCAGTTTGCTTTTCTATACCTTTCCCCCCCACTTCCTTTTTTTAACTTCCTCTATTAGTCTGGCAGTTTTCAGCCCTTGCTATATGTCTATGTCCTCACAATGCCATTCTTCCTCAATGTGCCACAAGAACACTTAAAAATGACATCCTTGTTAGTATCTGGGAAGAGTAGGTCATAAGATGGCTCTCTCCCACCCCATTCCCATCAGCTACAATCATTGATCTTTTGACTTCTCTAAGCTTGTATATTTGAGGGATTTGGTTTGCCCACTGCCTGGCTGAGCAGCAGGATACAGCCCAATCTGCCCTGCATGCTTGATGGGTAGTGTGTGCCCGGTCTGTATTCTATTCCAATATCTCTACTGGGGGAAGCTTGCAAAAACAAATTCAACATTTGGTAACTGAATGGTGCAAATGATGCAACTTTTACCTTACTCCAACTTAGAAAATTAAGAAAATGTTACTTTCAATCCTTGTTAAGAGAAGATAACAAGCCATATGTTAATATGGGGACCTTACATTAGTAACTACACTTGTAGGCATTTAACAGTATTTCTATCACTGTTCAATAATTGGTAACAATATGGGACTGGGTAATTATCAAATAAATCCAGACGTTTGATATAAGAGTGAAAGTGAATAGATAAATGAGAAGAAATTATTTCAATTGTGAAATGTAGCTGCTACATTTCATGGGTTAAAGTACAATAGAAAACAAGTTGGCATCTCTCCACATGACATTTATTATCCTAAGGGGGCAAATGCTATCAGCTTGAAGCTCTTGGAAAAAGATCAAATCTGTCTTCAGCTGATAAGTGTTTACTAAATCTCATTAAAGTGCTCCTGTTCTTGAATGTAAACTTTTTTTGTCCAGAGACTCCTTCACCAGTAACAAAAAATATGTGGTAATTACACAGATAAAATGCTGAGAAAGGACACCACTTTCTTAGAATTTTTACCGAAAACTTATCCTGAATCAATCAGAAAAAACCTTAGACAAACTCAGTCTGCAAAATAACCACTATTCTTCAAATGTCAAGGTCATGAAAGACAGACTAACCTGTTATAGATTAAAGCTAAGTAGCCAGAACAACTTAATACTAGGCTACTGGGTTGAATCTGGGACGATTAAAGTAGGACAAGTGGTGACATTTAAATAAGGTTTGTGAATTAGTCAATAGTATTATATCAATATTAATTTCCCATACTCATAGCAGCATTATTCACTATAGCCAAAATGTAGAAACTATCATAGTGCTCACCAGTGGATGAATGGATGACATGGTAATTTTATGCAATGAAATATTCAGGCATGAAAAGGAGTAAAATTTAGACAATACTACAATATAAAATCACAACATTGAGAACATGATAAGTGAAAAAAGTCAGACACAAAAGGACAATTATTTTATTATTTCACTTAAATAAAATATCTAGAACAGGTGAATTCATAGAAACAGTAAGTAGAGGTTATCAGTGATTAAGGGAAAAAGGATAGGGAGTTATTACTTAAGGGGTACAGAGCTTCTGTTTGAGGTAATAAAATATTTTGGAAATAGTAGTGGTGGTTGCAAAATGCTATAAATATAATTAATGACTTGTACACTCAAACATTGTTGAATCGACAAGTTTTAATGTAATATATTTCGCCACCTCAAAAAATAGAGGTTTTCCACATTCACTTCAGATTTTGAAAATTTGGTTCAATTTTGTCTACAGATGAGCTCTTGAAATACCTGGGATCAAACTGTCTCTCATTCAACTAGCAACTGTGTGAATTCCCAGAATATAAAGCACCAGCAGATTGAATTCACACATAAAATTATTCCTTATTGTGGGCCCTCCCTGGTGGCGCAGCGGGTTAAAGCACTGCACTGAGAAGCTAAAGCCACCTCCGCATGAGTTTGATTCCCGCCTGCCCCGGAGGCGACCACATGGTGTGGCAGACCTCTCCTGGCCCGCCCACTGCTCCCCTCAGCAGTGTACTTCCTCGATCTGCCTGTTCTGCTCCCCACTCTGTCTCTGGTGAATCCTCTCACCCTCCGCATCTCTGGCCTGTACCCCAGTTCTGTACGAATAAATAAATCTTAAAAAAAAAAAATTATTCCTTATTGTTAGGAACTAGCAAACTACAGTAATTTAAAAAATTGTATTAAATTCAGGGTGTGGCACTTAGTCATTGAGCTACAATCATAATAAATAATCTGTAACTGGGTCAGAGATAGGTTTTCCTTGTAGAGTCACATCAAACTGATATTTAATGTTTTATTTAATGTTATATTCCTCTTGGGGTGATGGGAGAGCAGAGTGTCATCAGTAGTTCATCCTTTCAATTGTAGCATTGTAATATCTATAGAGAGGGGATGATCCTGGTTCCCTGCCCCACCCAAAGAAAGGTGGAACTGAGCAGCGAAGAGAAGCTAGGAAAGACCAGGAGAAGGACTAAAGAAGGAAGAAAAAGATGGGAAGAAAGAAGTAAAAGACAAGAAGAACAGGAGGAGGCACATTTGCAGAGACATGAAGAAGAAGAAGCTGTGCTCACTTCTCAGCCTTGGACCTGAAGCAGGGACTTGGGGGATGAGGAAGGAGACACTTAAAAGAGACAGTCATGGATAAGAGCCCCCCCTGGGGAGGCTGGCAATGGCCTTTATCTTGACTTGCCTTTTGATTTTTCTTTTATCCTTTCAGACTTGACTGGCCCCTTCTGTCCCCTTCCTATGGATTCCTGTCGCAAGATACCTTAGCAATGTGGCAAGCTTTCAGGCCTCAGTGGCCCTGCTTTGGGCCAACCCTGTTTGGCTGGGCATTTACCCATGAAGGGATGGCTAATGTGGATGTTTAACTATCCTCTCTATTGCAAGCTAATTTTTGTATTAAAGTTCTTTCCTATTGAAAGTCTTATGCCTGAAGACGAGACATATTCAGGCAGCAGATGCCAGAACACATTAAGAGAGTGTAGGTTTGGGTGCCCCAGAGTAATTTTTCCCTGCACATCTAGAGCAAAACCTGCAACAGATAATCTCCCTTTTTACTCAGCTCCCTCAGGTTGTTCAGGCTTGAACCTCTAATCCACATAAATTCTTTATTTAAAGCTACAGTGTGTGTGTTCTTTTACTACATGGCTTCCTCTTGAAAAGCAACCACTTTATGTGGTCGTCAGCCAAAGAAACCATGATCTGTTCCTACAGTAATTGGGAGTTACTGAGAGAGATATAGTTTGCTTGAGAGATTTATACTTAACTTGACATTCATGAGCCTAATCTTTGAGTAAACTCCAATTTTCCTGTCTCCACACTGATACTATAACCAGCATCACTGGGTATTCATTAGAGCCTGAGGTTACAAAATACAGTCCAAGAGTTTTTGCACATTCCATAATATCCTCTTACCTCCTTACCAGCATTGTTTACCAAACCTATTCTCCCAATTCCCCATCTACCGCAGTTACCTTCCCCTCCAACTAAAACCATACGTGTGCTCCAACTACAAAATTTACAGTGGGAATAGTACAAGTTTTAGATTCAGGTAAATATAATAAATACTTGCAATATTTTTATATGTGCCTTTATTTAGGTACATTCGGGTAAATAAAGGTTCTAATCCTGCTTACCCATTTAACTCTAACCTTGGGCAAGTTAAAACTCTCTAAGACTTATTTCTAAAAAGGGGAATACAATTAAGCTTTTGGAGTTGCAGTGAGCTTTATATAATCTACAGAGCACAATCAGTAAAAATCTATTTCTGCCTTCCCTTCATGTTTATGCACACCATCTTGTTCTGACAGTACATTTCCCCCTCATCTCTGTCATATTTATTCCCCTTTAAGTTCCAATTAAATGTTACTTGTCACCTCTTTGACCCAACAATTCCACTTCTAGATACCTATTCCAATAAAATACTTGCACACACAAAAAGCCAAAAAAAAAAATTTAACTGAAGAAATTTTATAACAAAAAACTGGAAAATAAAATGTCCATCAATAGGGGACTGGTTAAATAAACTGTGGGAGTCTATGCAATGGGAATCACGTTAGTACCGAGTTAACATGTACTGCCATGGAAAACTTCTGAATACTTAACTGAGAAAGATTAGAGGAAACTATACACGGTAGATCACATTATTATAGTCATCACATGTCTATTTTTTCCATATGTGTAGACATGTTATACTTGAAATATTTTTATATGTACCTTAGGTATACTCGTAGGATGTGTAATACACATCCTTCTATGTGGTTTTTTGTTTATTTTAGTAGGATGAGAATACTGTCGTTACCAGAAAATTTTTTAATTTAAAAAGGTACCGATTCTTTAATATTTTCTCGGACTCAACTGAAATCAGCGATTCTTCTCATTGCCTTCTCACTCTCCTGGGTTGTGGGTGTGATTGCTTGTGCCTGTCTTTCACCCAAAATGGGAAACAGAACCTGTGCCCAGGCTCAATTAAAGATTGTTTAACAAGGGTCAAAGCTGACAAAAAAGAATTTGCATAGAAAAGCACATCTTAACGCACCCAGGGTGTAACTACGTTAGAATTACTGGGAGCCGAAGGTGGTGTGGGGGAGGGGAGATAGTGCTCCCGGGCCGTGTGTATATCCATAAATAAAAATTGTCGCTAAAGGAGGGGCGGCCTTTAAAGCCGAGAAGGAACGGGAGATCTAATGAATTCTAGACACTTTCACTAACCACCTTCATTTCCCTGGCTTCTATTTTGTCAACTGTAAAATTAGGGGTGGGACAGTCGCAGCTCTTAAGTTATAATTCTAGGTTACTGTGAAGTCAAGGTAGGACCAGGGCTCTCTTAATGTTTGGTTCGGTCAACAGCAACAAGTTTTGTACCGGCGGTAGTTAACCCATTGGTTCGCTTCCCGGAGTCGCTAACTGACCTTCGTTACTCATTTAAGCCCCAAAACCTTCATGAATGCTTTCCCACGCGAGTTCACTGGAATAATGTTTACCCCACTCCGTGGGTCTCCCGAGAGCAGCCCCCGCCTCCAGTAGCTAGAGAGGTGAAGGCACAAGACGTGGAGGGGGGTGCTACACCCCAAGTGCCAAGAGTAATGGATCTGACTTTTAATTGTCATAAAAGAAGCGAGCACCCCTACCAGTGCCACCCGCCTCCCGGGGGCCTGAGGTTAGGCGCTCTCCCTTTCCCCGGGGACCACTGAGCTCACCCAAGAGCGCAGCCTCGGCGGGTCCCAGGACCGCCCGGCGCGCACACCCGAGCAGCAGCTGTGACAGCACCATCGTCCGCCGGCGGCCGCTGATCACTTCCACCTGCTGCGGCTACTCCTTCTGCTGAGGCTCCGCCTCCCGGCGCCGGGAGCAGTGGCCGGCTCTTGAGCGCCCTCCGGCCGGCGCCGGCCCTATCGGGTAGTGCTACAAGGAGTAATTGATTCAAAGTTTCCTGCCCTGCTTTCGATTTTTAAGATCTTTTGGAAAGAAGGTAATTGTTGAGCTTTTTTTTTTTTTCTTGTTGTTGTGTTTTTTTTTAGAAGAAAAAATGTTTAAAAGTGGAAAGGAAAAAAAAAGTGGAAAGGAAAAAATATACTAAGGAGAATATTTAATGATTGAAAGTAAACAAATTTCTCCAGTTTTCATGTTGGGTTCATTTAAAGCCAACTACAATTCTCTAAAAACTTTTCAACTCCAAAAGCTGAATTAGACGCTGTCAATATTGAAGTAATCTCATGTATCTTCTTTTCCCTATGATTTAAGGATACTTGATTATATTTGAAGATAGCTTTGTTGGGATTATATCCGACTATTTTATAAAATGTGTCAGCTTTCAATTGCAACTGCAATAAATCACCACAGTTTACTGGTTTATAACAATGTAAGTGTAATACGTGCAGTTTTTGGTTAAAGTTCTCAGTTGGCTAAAATTAAGATGTCAGTAGTTCTCTGTTCCTTGGGAAGGCTCTAGGTGAGAATTTCCTTACTTACTTTTTCTCACCACTGGGGAATGCTTGTAATTTTTGGCTAGTGGTTCCTTTGCCGATCTTCAAAGCCAGGAATTTAGCATCTCCGAATTTCTTTCTTTCACCTCTCCTACTGCTACATCCTCTTCTCTTCCTCTGATCTTGCTGCCTTCCTTTCATAAGGAACTTTGCAACAACACTGGGACCACTAGAATAATCCAGGATATCCTTAGTAGCAAGATCCTTAATTTAATAATAGCTACAAAGTCTTCTTGCCATGTGATGTGACACTTAAAGTTTCTAGGAATTAGGACATGGGGTGTGGGGTGGGTGGGTGGGGCAGATTCAGTCTACCACATAAAGTTTTTGTTACCTTGCTTTTAACTTATTCTCAACTTGATTCCCAGGCATGCTGAAAATGATATTTAACTACAAATTGATTCACAATAAAAATTCATATATTCATTTCTGAATTACATTATTGTCTAAAGTAGAATTTCCTTCAGCAAGCACTTTTACATATTTTGTTTCTTATAATTTAATAATTAATAAAACCACTTCTAAACCAGTAAGATCACTTCCAATTATGTTTGACTTAACCATAGTCTCTGTGTGATTTATTTTGAAGATTAACTCTGAACTAAGATGCTATTATATGACACAGATTGATGTATTCCCTGTGGCATCCCCAATCTGTCCTGAATGTGCATCATAAGCCATAGGTAGTATGGACACAGATAAGGAAACAATATACTTGACTTCAAGGAATCCCATTTAATCTGATTGATGTTTTGGGGAGGGTAATTTTGACTAAACAATTATTTCCTCAATATTCATGACTAATTATTTGAAAAATAATTAGAATTGTAGAATTTTTCCTGAAAATATAATATGTTCTCCTGTGTATAACATAGTGTCAAACTTGGCTTATTTAAGAGTCCTCAGAGCAAAAAGATCTTGTCAAGAGAGCCTTTATGATGCTCTCTTTATAGGTGTGGTTTACAAGTATCCTAGATGTCCTCTTAGAGGTCAGTAAGGTTTTAAGTGGGTTGAAAGAAGGAAAATACCTTAACTCTTCTGGGAAAATTCTACTAGTACTCAGTTGTGATTAGTCATTAATTTTCAAATACCCATTTTCTTTTTTGGCATAACATATGCAAGTGAAAGGCACTTGGGAAGGAGTGGACTTTTAAGAAACTTGGGATTTTCCCCATTTCTTTTAAAATTTATTTCATCTGACACAAATCAAATGAAATAAGAAATGTATTGCCTTTCATGAAACTTGAAAAAAGTTTCCATCAAAACTTAAAAGGAGCATCTTTTAACACCACATGTCTACAGTGCATACTTAATCTATTAAAATATTTGCACTGCCCTCCCTGGTGGCACAGCTGGTTAAAAGCACAGCACTAAGAAGCTGAAACCGCTTCCTCATGAGTTCCATCCCCTCCTGCCCCAGAGGTGACCACATGGTGAGGCAGACCTCTCCTGACCACCTACTGCTCCCCTCCTAACTGCTCCCCTCTCTCCCCTTGGCAGTCGGCAGTCAGCCTGATCTGCTCCCCACTCTGTCTCCAGTGAGTCCTCTCATGGACCCTGCACCTCTGGCCTGTATGCCAATTCTGTATGCACAAATAAATAAATCTTAAAAAAAATATTTGCACAAGTAAACAAAGTAAAATGTATATGAACAGAGGACTGAAAAAAAAATCCATTGACTAAATCCTAAGGGAGGGAGAAGTCTAGTTAATGTGGAGATATGTCCAAGATTTACTATCCAGTGAAAAAGCTAAGCTGTAGAACATTAGTGAAAAAACTGAAATTGCATAATAGAATGTACACTGTAATCTACTCTTACTCTGCAGTCATATAATAATATGGTACAAATGTATATTGTATGTACAGAGAAAATTCCTGAAACTATAGATAAGAAATAAACAGAAAAAAGGAAATTTATAGCTGAAGAGCGGAAATCAGAGTGTGGGAAGGGAGGAGGAAATGAAGAACTTTACACTAAACTAGAATATTACTTTTCCAATGGCGTGCATGGTTAAAATATAACATATCTGATGGGTGGATGGATAGCCTAAAGCTTAGCAAAATATTCTGCATTTTCAGATAGAACAATGATGGAAAAATCGGGGAAGAGCCGAACTGCACACTCCAGGTCACTTACTGGACCCAAATGCAAGGCCATTGACTATAGTAAAGAGCTCGGCCTACATGGCGGCGCGCATGCGTGACGCGGCCCCGCCCTTCCACACCTCCCTCCGTACGCACCACCCCAGGAGGGGCGGCTCTGAACCTGCCAGGAAAGAGGGGCGGGCACAACAGGCCCCGCCCTTGCCGGCCGGCTAGAGAGTCGCGCAGGCGCAGTGTCTCCTGGTTGTAGACGCGGCTGCTTGGCCCGGCGGGGTGAGTTAGGGGTGCGGTGCTGGGGTCCGCGTAGTTTCCCATGTTCGCTTCCACGTCCCCGCCCCGTGTGGCGTAATGGAGCTGAGAGGGAGGCTCTTTAAGCCTGCTCGCCTTCCCGATCCCTGGGGATGTTCGGCAGTCGCCAAGGGCC